CATGTGGTCATATCAGAAAGTGAAGAAATGCCCCCAAACCAAAACAGAATGAAGGGGGACCAAGCCAGAGGACCCAGGAACCAACCTGAAAGAGATCTCAATGGCCACAACTGGAACAATTTGAGCAGCACAATAAATCACGTAACACTGAATAACAACCCAAATCACAAAAGCTTGTTTGGGAAAAGATGAAGTAAAAACACAGTGGATGGGCGCTTGTAGCTTTTCAAACCCAAGCAAGGGCACACCTGTAGTCTCAGCTACTAAGAAGATTGGGGTAGAAGGATTGCTTGAACCCAGGAATGGGAGACCAGCCTAGGCAACATAGTGACCTTGTCTCAAAAAAAAAGCCCAGGTAAAAATCTGCTGGGCCCACCATCTGCAGACACCTCAGGCAGGTTTTATAGCCCAGCCCAGCTTCCTCCTGCTGTCCTTGGTACCAGCAGGGGAACAGGAGACAGGCACTGGGCACAGTTCCAGTACTGCACCTGTGGGTAAGCAAGCAATGAATCAGGGGTGGCTTCTGCGTTTGTAGCTTTAGCAACTGGGTGGGTGATGATACCATGTACTGACATGGGGAGAAAGCGTGAAAAGACAGCATGCACCTGGGTATGTCAGGGACAGAACAAGAGCCTGCTGGAGACACGTGCATTCCTGAGCTGCCTCATGATCTTTAAGTAGACAGGTCACCGGGCAGGAGGAGGTGTTTCTGCTGTATCTCCCGGGCCCTCCATTCCCACAGAGCTCTCTGACCAAGGAATATCCTGGTTCCCAGCTTCCACCTGGCTTTTGAGCTCCATGGCCTGCCTGACCCCAGGATCCAAATGAGCTGGCAGGAACTCATGGACCACCTAACTCCGCTGCATTGCGCATGACTTTATGATTCAAACATCGCTTGGCCCAGAATCTGCTACACCCAGGCCTGGAATGAAAAGACCCCAGGCCTGACTGCCACCACAGAGCTCTCCAGGGCAAAGAAGTCCCGGCAGCCAGCCTCCATCATCCTGGAAACACCGCACCCCTCTCTCAAGGATGGGCATGAAGGGGCTGAGTCTCCTACACCTCGCAGATCACTGGAGATTACGCAATCCCATGGGGGTGAGATCATCTGCAAAGATGGCTCTGGACAAGAGAGGAGGTGAAAAGGCCCAGTGTGGAGTCCAGCATGTTGGGTTTGAACCTCAGGTCTGTCCCTGATATGAGCTCTGTGACTGTCACTGGACCCCAGCCCCCAGCACAGATGTGAATGTGAGGAGAGGCGCTTCCTGTCTGAGATTTCAAGGAGGGAGGAGGCATGGTGTGTTGGGCTGGGGGACAGGAGGAGCCCTTTGGTTCTTCAAAGTCTCCAAGACCATGACTTTGAACCTGTGACTCTCATGACAGGTTCTTCCTGTGTGGCAGAGAACTATTGTGCAAGAAGATGGGTAGGGAGGTGGATGGAGATGTAGCTCATTACCAAACTGTGTGTGAGTGTGTGTGTGTGTATGCGCGCGCACACACAACTGTTGGCTGGTAGCAAAAGCTCAGGGAACCTCTGTCCCACAGTGTAGTTTCCTTTGACCTTCACATCAGCCCCACCCTTTCTGCCTGTGTTTAAAGAACCGGCCCACGCCACAGTCGTGAGGGCTGCTGGGGCCTAGGAGAGTTCAGGGTTGTGTCAGTGCAGAACTCCCCCCATGGGACCCCCACTCCACCCCCACCCCATGACAGAAACCTCTTATGTTGGTGTCATTTCCTATGCAAGAATCTCTCCTGGGGAAAATTCCTAAGAATTCGAATAGCCTTGAAAACAAAATTAACCACTATTCTATCTTACAGCCAGCAGCTGGAATTAACCCATATCATATGCACTCAATAAAACATTAATAAATAAATGATAAATATAAGTTGGGAGCAGGGGCATGTGCCTGTAGTCCCAGCTACTTGGGACTGAGGCTGGAGACTGAGGCAGGAGAAATCATCTGAGCCCAGGAATTCAAGGCCAGTCTGAGCAACACTGCAAGACCCTGTCTTGTAATTAATTAATTACTTATTTTTCTCTGAGTGGTGGGAACAGAAGAAGTGACTATGTCCCCTTCTCTTTCTGTTTTTCAAAGTATCCATACATAATGAATTTGTGTTATTTTTTCATACAACAGCTAGAGTCCAACTTTTCTTGTTCTTTTTCTTCTTTTCCTCTCCCAAATACTGGGATTTGAATCTAGGGATGTTCCACCACTGAGCTATACCCCCAGCTCTTTTCAAAACTTTTTTTAAAATTTTTTGAGACAGCTCAGTTGTTGAGGTTTGGACTCAAACCTGCAATCCTCCTGCCTCAGCCTCCTGAGTCTCTGGGATTATAGGAGCGTGCCACCACTTCCAGCACTAATAGATCATTTTAATTTGAGTATGAAAGTAGTGCATTGACAAGACCTGAGTGGGGACATTATTTCTGCCAAGCCTTGATTTTCTTATGCTCCATAAGCACTGCTACCCCTGATACCTGGCACTGCACGCCCTCCGTGTATAGTGGTTGATCAGTAGGTTGGTGGGTTGCATGAGAAGACAAAATAAAGGGAGGAAGACAACATGGTGTAGCAGAAGAGTAGACTGAGACTTGTTTCTAAACTCCAAAGCTACCGCTTACCAGCTGTGTGATTTTAAACAAGTTGCTTAATCATTCTGTGCTTTCATCTCCTCAAGAACAAAATAGCAAAAATGTTAATAATTTCTCTATAGGTTTTTGTGAGAAGTGATACTATGTTTTTAAATACTATGTAGCATCTGCTTCCCAGCCAAAGCTTGCAGAAAAACTGGCTATTGTTACTGTGATAAGCGAATGCATGACCAGCTCAGTCAGGCTACCTTATTTATAAGGCTGTAGCCCCCAGGACACTTACTGGAACCACATTGACACTAGGGCCCAGCCGGCTGCTGCTGTCACCCCCTCCTGCCATTCCCTCCCCAAGATCAGAGAGCATCTTCCCTTGGTCCTAGCCTGGTTGTGTCTCTCGCCGGGTTTTTGTGCGGCATGTTTTTTTGACCCCTCACCCCCGCCCCCTGAGCCGTGTACCTGCGCCACCTCGGGCCTCACGTTGAAGGTATCCAGCCAGTCGCTGAAGCGCGGGTAGCTGTTGAGCTCGGGGGTCCTGTCGCTGGGGGGCACGCTCAGCTTGCACTGCCGCTGCTTGCAGATGTAGCGCACCAGCTTCGCCTGCGGGGAGTCCAGGAGAAGGAGGTCATGTCCATGGGTGGCAGGAGCAAGCAGGCAGCCCCAAGTGAGCACGGCCCAGGGCAGGCCTGTCCTGGTCCCTTTTGTGGCCACTCACACAGCAAATGGGAAGAAGGGCCAGGGGAGCAGGCAAGGAGCCCAGGAGCCACCCACCACCCACTGCTGCACCCGAGGATGGCCATTGCAGCCCTGCCCTCCGGTCCCTGCTCCCTGGGGAGGAAAAGATCAAGAAGGGTCAGAACAGAACCTGGTTAGACCGACGCCAGCCCTCTGCCTCATGGGGCAGCGGAGCTGGAAACGGACACCATGGGAGACGTGGGGGCTCAGGGAGGACGGGCCACCTTCCAATCAGGACACTCAGCCTAGCTTCAGGCTGCCAGGGTTGGCATCCAGGGCTCAGTCACACGCAGGTGCTGTGGCTTTGGACAAGTTACTTAACCCCGGGAAAGCTTCCGTTTCCTCCTCCAGAAAATGGGATAACAACAGAAGCTCCCTCTCAGGGAAGTTAAGAGGAGACACAGCACCTAGCACACACCCCGTGCACGTGACCACCCAAAGTGCTGGCTTCGACCGCTGGTGAGAGCCCCAGACCCGGGTCCCTAAGTATGCATTCGGGGATTCACACCTGAAAAGTTCACAAATTCCAGACAGTGGACAGACTGAGGCCAAATGACAAGCAATGGCTCCAACGGGTGCCCCATGCTGGATGGAGGGAGGTGGTG